TTCTTTCCTAGTTTACTTGTAAGACTCAAGGAGGGGCTGCAGCTCGTGCCTCTCGTTTGGGATGATGTATGAACTCACTCTAAAGTTGCTTCTGAATCAATAAACTTATTATTATTCATAAAAAAAGACTAGAGACCTAGTGGATATGGTATGCATTGCAGCTTCATGCCTGAATGTGAAGTGGGTTTTACCCTTATTTCTCCTTGATGCCAAACTGTCAATATCTAACTCAAAATTTGATATCCTTTTAAAAGAGCTACCCTGAGATTCTTCAGGTTCAAAACTCACACCGCGATCAATGCCATTTTCCTGATTTTCATCTCTATATTGATTGTCAGCTGTAGTTTTATCTGCCTTCACTTCCCAGTCTTTGGCTATGGTTACATGAAACATGATCAACTTCCTCATCTTATTGAAAACTTTCAACATTTGGGTTTGATGTTGATGAATAATAGGGTAGAGAGCAAATTTGACATTTTGGCTTTTTTCGTTAGTACTTAATGGCAATGGCAATTGTCATAAAACTTGGGGGTATTTTAAGATAATATGTAAATAGTAAGGGTAGAGTTAGTCAATTAGCTAAAACCGTAAGGGTATTTTTAGGAATTTGTCATTTTCTTATTTACTTGGAAAGTAAAGAAACATGGGTAAATGCACTTACTCGTATTAGTGTTTTTTGGGAAATACTTGCTCAGATAAGTAACTTCTTGAAAATTGAATGCCTATATGGCAATAAATGGCAAATGGGCACAAAATCAAACACGATGTATATGTTGGGTTTTGTGGGCATTTATAGATGGGTCATTTATTGCTTTAAATGTTTATTTTTACGACTTTACTTTAAACATTTCTTACTTTTGTTGTTTGGTTGGGTATTACTTTAAACATTTTTTACCTTCCACCTCATATTAACACCCATAAAAGTGTGCCACATAAGCATTTTGTATCAAGAAATAATGGGGTGTTGGGGGAAATGAAAACTTGACGTTTTCCTAAATGCCCCATACACAAGAATCAAAGCATTTCAATTTTTTTCGGTATTTATTTGATAACTGGTGAAACCAAATAGGGGATGTTTGGTATGTCTTCCATTTATTTGAAAAATGTTTGTACTTGATTTGTCTTCAAAACCAAAGAAAGGTGGTTGGTAAACATTTTTCTATTGTTTGTTGACAGCTAGGAGCCACTCAACGCCATTAAGTGCCGCATAAGTGGAACAATAAAATACACACATTGGTATTGGGGAAAACATTAAAATAAAGCTTTTCCTAATGATTGAATTGCACATAAACCGAGATAAACATTTAGAGGGTGTTTGGAACCGTGGGTGTTTATTCAATAAATGTTGCCACATAGGCGCCACTTCAATAGTTCCCCTCTCATGCTCTTCCGTATGCATTGAGAATAGGAAAAGGTAACTTTGGTTTCTGTGCACACCTACCGTTTGGGGAAATTATTTTTTAAAGCTTCCCCAATGGTTAGGCATTTTTTCACTATTATGCTGATGTGGTGCCACTCATAAACGGTTGTAATTATTACCTTTCTCGGTTTTACAAGCAAATAAAATACAAATGTTGAGACTGCATTTGTTTCCGATGTAAATGCACTTTTACACCGATAGAGTTGAGACACGATGGTTCGGTGAGAGTGTAAAATACGGACCGGCCATTGTGCCCATTTTACAATCATCTTGTTTGGTTACATCAACATAATGGAGGTTACCTTGTTTTCTGGTTTGTTGTAGTGGGAGATTTATCAGAGAGAGAGAGAGAGATGGTGTTTGTTTTCTAGTCCTGAACCAACTTTCAACTGGTTGCAGCGGTTTAGATCTAGGTCCTCTCTGGTTCTCCCTTTAGAGGACGAGGTTGGGGTACTGCTCGAGGACGATCTCTGTTCTAGGTCCTCTCTGGCTCTCCTTTTGGATGTGGGTTCAGATCTACTGCTGCAACTAGCGATGACAGAAAGAGAAAAAAAGGGGGGAGAAGACGAAGAGAGAAGGATAAGATATATATATATATAGAGAGAGAGAGAGAGAGAGAGGTGGCGTCTATTTTCTAGTCCTCAACCAACTTTCAATTGGTTGTAGTGGTTCAGATCTGGGTTCTCTCCGACTCTCCCTTTGGAGGACAAGGTTAGGGTATTGCTCGAGGACAATCTTTGTTATGGGTCCTCTCCGGCTCTCCCTTTGGAGGTGGGTTCAGATTTGTTGCTGCAACTGGTTGCAGCGGCGGTGACAGAAAGAGAAAAAAAAGGGGGAAGAAGAAGAAAAGATAAGGAGAAGAGAGAGAGAGAGAGGAAGAAAGAGCGGTTACCTTTTACATCAATAATTTCGATGTATTTATTACATCGATTATCGATGTAAATATAATTCAAAATGTAATTTTACACTGATTTTCGGTGTAAAATTACATGTTTATCTAATGCCAGTAAAATCAAACTGGGGTAAATTGATGAGGGGTAACAAATGTAGCTTGAATGAAAAAACGTAAACGGAACTTGATGAGGGGTAATTTGGTCCTCCCAGTCAAATGGTGACACGTGGCCTCTGATCGACACCTCATCTTAGAGTCAGCAAATTAGCTCAAAGCACCTCACTTGGGCCGGCCTCCACCTCGGCAAGACTGAGCTAGCAGACCCCGTAAGATTGCGGCGACCTGTCCTAAAAGTCAGCCGAGCTGTAGAGATCCAAGACGACCTGTAAGGGAGAGCTCGTTAATCGTCCCCAGTAGTACACCGCCAAGAGCACCAATGCCTTGACCGTTAGAACAGTCTGTTGTGTCATGCGCCTCAACTTTACTCGGGCAGACTGTAACCTCCACGAGGACCTCGTAATCGATGCATTAACATGCCAAATAAAACGGAAATAGCTTTGTGAGGAGCTCAGGCTTGTTACCAAGAAGGCCCTGAGCTCCGATGCCTATAAAAGACACCTATTCTCACTTGAGAAGGTATGCACACTAAGTACTCTAGAGCTTTCTCAATCTCCCAAAGAACTCTCAAACACTCTTTGACTTAAGCATTGGAGTGCCCTCCCCGGGTGAAAGACACTCGGACACTCTCACCTTCTTCTCTTTGCAGCATACTTCAACTTGGTCATCTGAACATAAGCTCGTCATATTTTAGCTCGGCCCATACAACTCGACCTAGCCAAGTAGACGTCAAGATCGAAGTCAGAGTCACTTGACATGAGGGAGCTTCTAGATTGTGCAACATCGAACTGATATAGGCACTTTAGGCAGGCCAGTAGCACACCAACACGCGGCTAAGGGCGGTGTGCAGCACGAGACCAATGGCACGACCACACATGACGACCTTGAATGGTTGCGCTCCCAGGGATGGATTGCATCCTGACCGTCTCAAGTATAAATAGGGGCAACCCACCCTCAAGGTAACCATCTGGAACCTAGGCTGGAAACCCTCTAGCTTTTGGGCGACCTCATCTGAGCTACTCTACTCAGGCCTTGTCCGCCCTCTTTGTTCTGCCCTCACTAACTTGATTATTGGAGTCCCTGCCTCAGGCTAGCACCCGGGGCCTCTGACATTCCCTTATCCGCAAGTCCTCGGCCTCGGCACCCCTCGGACCCCACTGGTCCTTGGCCCCAGCACCCCATAGACTCTTCCAACTGCCAACTCTTCTTGGAAGTGAAGCTACAGTGTTGTCGTCATCCATTCCAAGCATCAACAATTGGCACCGTCTGCGAGAACATCGCTAAGATTTCCCTCACTTCAACTTAAAACTAAAAGGACTTTCTCTTAAGCCTTAACCGATATGGTGAGGAACGCCAGGAACGTCAAGAACCTAGTCACAATAGAACAACTCCAAGCGGTCCTTGACTGGCTAGATCACCTCGCCCGATGGGTTGATGAGGCATACCCCCAGGCAAGAGGCCATCCTCAAGATGGCCGCCTCGCTGGAACCTCGGCCCGCCAGC